TTTTTTATGGCTTCATAATATTCCATGGTGTATATGTGCCACATTTTCTTAATTCAGTCTATCATTGTTGGATATTTGGGTTGGTTCCAGGTCTTTGCTATTGGGAATAGTACCGCAATAAACATACATGTGCATGTGTCTTTACAGCAGCATGATTTATAGAGAGAGGGCATCCTTGTCTTGTGCCAGTTTTCAAAGGGAATGCTTTTCCCATTCAGTATGATATTGGCTCTGGGTTTGTCATAAATAGCTCTTATTATTTTGAGATATATTCCATCAATATCTAGTTTATTGAGAGTTTTTAGCATGAAGGACTGTTGAATTTTTTCGAAGGCCTTTTCTGCCTCTATTGTGATAATCATGTGGTTTTTGTCATTGATTCTATTTATGTGATGGATTAAGTTTATTGATTTGTGTATGTTGAACCAGCCTTGCATGCCAGAGATGAAGCCAACTTGATCATGGCAGATAAGCTTCTTGATGTGCTGCTGGATTTGGTTTGCCAGTATTTTATTGAGGATTTTTGCATTGATGTTCATCAGGGATATTGGTCTAAAAATTCTCTTTTTTTGTTGTGTCTCTGCCAGGATTTGGTATCAGGATGATGCTGACCTCATAAAATAAGTTAGGGAGGATTCCTTCTTTTTCTATTGTTTGGAATAGTTTCAGAAGGAATGGTACCAACTCCTCCTTGTACCACTGGTAGAATTCGGCTGTGTGTCCGTCTGGTCCTAGACTTTTTTTGGTTGGTAGGCTATTAATTATTGCCTCAATTTCAGAGCCTGCTATTGGTCTATTCAGGGATTCAGCTTCTTCCTGTTTTAGTCTTGGGAGAGTGTAAGTGTCCAGGAAATTATCCATTTCTTCTAGGTTTTCTAGTTTCTTTGCGTAGAGGTGTTTATCGTATTCTCTGATGGTAGTTTGTATTTCTGTGGGGTCGCTGGTGATGTCCCCTTTCTCATTTTTTATTGCATCTATTTGATTCTTCTCTCTTTTCTTCTTTATTAGTCTTGCTAGTGGTCTGTCAATTTTGGTGATCTTTAAAAAAAACAAAAAACAGAAAACCAGCTCCTGGATTCATTGATTTTTTTGAAGTGTTTTTTGTGTCTCTGTCTCTTTCAGTTCTGCTCTGATCTTAGTTATTTCTTGTCTTCTGCTAGCTTTTGAATTTGTTTGTTCTTGCTTCTCTAGTTCTTTTAATTGTGATGTTAGGGTGTCAATTTTAGATCTTTCCTGCTTTCTCTTGTGGGCATTTAGTGCTACCAGTTTCCGTCTACACACTGCTTTAAGTGTGTCCCAGAGATTCTGGTACATTGTGTCTTTGTTCTCATTGGTTTCAAAGAACATCTTTATTTCTGCCTTCATTCCGTTTTTTACCCAGTAGTCATTCAGGAGTAGGCTGTTCATTTTCCATGTAGTTGAGCGGTTTTGATTGAGTTTCTTAATCCTGAGTTCTAATTTGATTGCACTGTGGTCTGAGAGACCATTTGTTGTGATTTTTGTTCTTTTACATTTGCTGAGGAGTGCGTTACTTCCAATTATGTGGTCAATTTTAGAATAAGTGCAATGTGGTGCTGAGAAGAATGTATATTCTGTTGATTTGGGGTGGAGAGTTCTGTAGATATTTATTAGGTCCACTTGGTGCAGAGCTGAGTTCAATTCCTGGATATCCTGTTAACCTTCTGTCTCATTGATCTGTCTAATATTGACAGTGGGGTGTTAAAGTCTCCCATTATTATTGTGTGGGAGTCTAAGTCTCTTTGTAGGTCTCTTAAGGACATGCTTTATGAATCTAGGTGCTCCTGTATTGTGTGCATATATATTTAGGATAGTTAGCTCTTCTTGTTGAATTGATCCCTTTACCATTATGTAATGACCATTTTTGTCTCTTTTAATCTTTGTCGGTTTAAAGTCTGTTTTATCAGAGACTGGGATTGCAACCCCTGCTTTTTTGCTTTCCATTTGCTTGGTAGGTCTCCCTCCATCCCTTTATTTTGAGCCTATGTGTGTCTCTGTATGTGAGATGGGTCTCCTGAATATAGCACACTGATGAGTCTTGACTCTTTATTCAATTTGCCAGTCTGTGTCTTTTAATTGGGGTATTTAGCCCATTTGCATTTAAGGTTAATATTGTTATGTGTGAAGTTTATCCTATCATTATGATGTTAGCTGGTTATTTTGCCTGTTAATTGATGCAGTTTCTTCCTAGCATTGATGGTTTTTACAATTTGGCATGTTTTGCAGTGGCTGGTACTGGTTTAGCTCTTCTTTCAGGAGCAGTTTTAAGGCAGGTCTGGTGGTGACAGAATCTCTCAGCATTTGCTTGTTGGTAAAAGATTTTATTTCTCCTTCTCTTATGAAGCTTAGTTTGGCTGGATATGAAATTCTGGTTTGAAAATTCTTTTCTTTAAGAATGTTGAATATTGTCGCCTACTCTCTTCTGGCTTGTAGGGTTTCTTCTGAGGTGTCTGCTGTTAATCTGATGGACTTCCCTTTGTCAGTAACTGGAACTTTCTCTCTGGCTGCCCTTAACATTTTTTCCTTCATTTCCACCTTGGTGAATCTGACAATTATGTGTCTTGGGGTTGCTCTTCTTGAGGAGTATCTTTGTGGTGTTCTCTGTATTTCCTGAATTTGAATGTTGGCCTGCCTTGCTAGGTTGGGGAAGTTCTCCTGGATAATGTCCTGAAGAGTGCTTTCCAACTTGGTTCCATTCTCCCCATCACTTTCAGGTACACCAATCAAACCTAGATTTCGTCTTTTCACATAGTCCCATATTTCTTGGAGGCTTTGTTTGTTTCTTTTTACTCTTTTTTCTCTAACCTTGTCTTCTTGCTTTATTTCATTAATTTGATCTTCAATCACTGATACCCTTTCTTCCACTTGATTGAATCAGCTATTGAAGCTTGTGCATGCGCCACGAAGTTCTTGTGCCATGGTTTTCAGCTCTATCCGGTCATTTAAAGTCTTCTCTACACTGTTTATTCTAGTTAGCCATTCATCTAACCTTTTTTCAAGGTTTTTAGCTTTTTTTTTGTGATGGGTTAGAACATGCTCTTTTAGCTTGGAGAATTGTGTTATTACTGGCCTCCTGAAGCCTACTTCTGTGAACTCATCAAAGTCATTCTCTGTCCAGCTTTGTTCTGTTGCTGGTGAGGAACTGCGATCCTTTGGAGGAGAAGAGGCACTCTAGGTTTTTAGAATTTTCAGCTCTTGTTTCTCTCCATCTTTGTGATTTTATCTACCTTTGGTCCTTGATGTTGGTGACCTACAGATGGGGTTTTGGTGTAGATATCCTTTTTGTTGATGTTGATGCTATTCCTTTCTGTTTGTTAGTTTTCCTCCTAACAGTCAGGTCCCTCAGCTGTAGGTCTGTTGGAGTTTGCTGGAGGTCCACTCCAGACCCTATGTGCCTGGGTATCACCAGTAGAGCCTGCAGAGCAGCAAATATTGCAGAATAGCAAATATTACTCCCTGATCCTTCCTCTGGAAGCTTTGTCTCAGAGAGGCGCCTGCCTATATGACGTGTCTGTCGGCCCCTACTGGGAGGTGTCTCCCAGTTAGTCTACACAGGGATCAGGGACCCACTTGAGGAGGCAGTCTGTCTGTTCTCATTGCTCAAACGCCATGCTGGGAGAACCACTGCTCTCTTTAGAGCTGCCAGACTGCAGAAGTTGTCTGCTGCCTTTTGTTCAGCTATGCCCTGCCCACAGAAGTGGAGTCTATAGAGGCAGTAGGCCTGGCTGAGCTTTGGTGGGCTCCGCCCAGTTCAAGCTTTCTAGCTGCTTTGTTTACCTACTGAAGCCTCAGCAATGGAGGACGCCCCTCCCCCAGCCAGGCTGCTGCCTTGCAGTTTGATCTCAGACTTCTGCGCTGGCAGTGAGCAATGCTCCGTGGGTGTGGGACCCACTGAGCCCGGCACTGGAGAGAATCTTCTTGTCTGTCAGTTGCTAAGGGAAAAGCACAGTATTTAGGTGGGAATGTCCCATTTTTCCAAGTACAGTCTGTCATGGCTTCCCTTAGCTAGGAAACGGAAATCCCCTGACCTCTTGCGCTTCCTGGGTGTGGTGACCTCAGGCCCTAACATCTTTGTCAGTCCTGGGGATCTTTTCCTCTTACTCATGTAGCTGGATCTCCTTTTAGTTTAGCTTCCTTTGTTTCACATCTCTTCTTTTGAACCCCTCCATTGGATGAGTATCTATATCTCAACTCAATTGTGAATAGGAATAGTTTTTTTTTTTCTGTAGGACTTAAGAGTCTTGTGCAAGATGTGGTATTTCTGGATAATCAAGATATTCCGTAAATGTTCTTGGACAAGAGAATTGGGAGGTAGGTGCAGTGCAAGGGAGAGGAGTTGGCCTAACTCCACTAACATGCTGTGGCCCATGTTTTACTTCTTGGAGAGCAACTTCAAAGCAAATCTGTTGATGCCAGTAAATACATTAAAGAACTAGTTGTGGGGGAGAGTTAGTAAAGAATTAGTAGACTTTTCCTTTTATACCTTAAGAATGTGACCTTTAGTTAATTTTCTCTCTGTTCCACTAGAAATCAGATGAAGATAGAATTTCAACTATGTTACAGTCAGTATTGCCTACAGTAATATTATCCCTGAATGATAAATTGCAACAAAACAAGGAGGAATTATAAATGCCCCATAAATACCTGAAGAAGAATGTCAACTATGTTACAGTCAATATTGCCTATGGTAATATTATCCCTGATTGATACACTGCAACTAAACAAAGAGGAGTTACAAATGTCTCATAAATACCTGATGAGAGTGCTGTAATTTGGGCTTTCCTGAGTGTGTTAACTCATGTAATTGGGTGTGTTTCTCATGTGAATCCTGGAACCCTGTGGAGTTGTTACAAGAGATATAATGTCTTGTGGGACATGAGACTCTTAAGTAGGGCAACCCCTGAACCTGCCAGATGAGAAGTAAATGAAATAAGCAATGAAGGTGAAACTGAAGTTATACTTTTAAATTCTCATACCTCCAGGCATCATCTTAGAGTCACCCTTCTTTGGAAACCACTGTATCGGAGAAATCCCTCCAAGACACAGGTAATTAGAGAGGGTATGTGAACCAAGGAGCCAATCAAATTCTCCCACATAAGAATTTGGGACACAGAAGATGAAGCTGAGGACCACAAGGATTTAGATACTGATGCTGTAAGTTATGTTTCTTTTTTTTTTTTTTTTTCAAATTTAACACTTTTTAAAAATTGACAGATAAAATTATATGTATTTATTGTGTACACTGCGATGACTTGAAGCACATGTACCTTCTGGAATGGTTAAATCTACCTAATTAATATATAGGTATCAACTCACACGGTTATCATTTTTGTGTTAAGAACACTTAACATTCACTCTCCTGGCATTCCTCGAGAGTACAACATATTGCTATTTATTATGTTCCCCATGCTGTACAGTAGCCCTCTTGAATTTATTCTTCCTGCCTGATTGTAATTTTGTGTGCTTTGACCAAAATCTCCCTAACCACTACTCCCACAATCACCACAGCCTCTGGTAACCACCATTCTACTTCCTATTTTTTGACATCGACTTTTTAAGTTGCCTCATAATGAGTAATATATTTGTTCATTCTTGCACTGCTATAAATAAATAACTGGTCCTGGATAATTTATAAAGAAAATAGGTTTAATTGGCTCATGGTTCTGCAGGCTGTACAAGAAGCATAATTCTGGCACCTGCTCAGCTTCTGGGGAGGCCTCAGGAAACTTGCAATCATGGCAGAAGGCAAAGGGAGAGTGAGACATCTTACATGGCAAAAGCAGGAGTGAGAGATAGGGGAGGTGCTTCATACTTTTTTTTTTTTTCAGACGGAGTCTCACTCTGTCACTGTTGTGCAGTGGCACAGTCTTGGCTCACTGCAACCTCTGCCTCCTGGGTTCACGCAATTCTCCTGCCTCAGCCTCCCAAGTAGCTGGGACTACAGGTGGATGCCACAACATCCAGCTAATTTTTGTATTTTTAGTAGAGATGGGATTTCACTATGTTGGCCAGGCTGGTCTCGAACTCCTGACCTCATGATCCGCCTGCCTTGGCCTCCCAAAGTTCTGGGATTACAGGCCACCTTGCCTGGCCCACACTTTTAAACAACCAGATCTCATGAGAACTCTATAATGAGAACAGCACTAGGGGTATAGGGCTCAATAATTCATGAGAAACCACCCCCATGATTCAATCACCTTCTACCTTAAGCATTGAGGATTACATTTCAACATGAGATTTGGACAGGGACACACACCAAACCATATCATTTCACCCTGCCCCTTCCCAAATCTCTTGCCCCTCTCACATTTCAAAATACAATCATGCCTTCTCAACAATGACCCAAAGTCTTAACTCAGTCTACCATTAACTCAGAAGTCCACAGTCCAAAGTCTCCTCTGAGGCAAGACTAGTCTCTTCTGCCTATGAGCCTGTAGAATAAAAAAACAAGCTAGTTTCTTTCAAGATACAATGAGGGTAGAGGCGTTGGGTAAATGCTTTCATTCCAAATATAAGAAATTGGCCAAAACCAGGGCACTACAGGCCCCGTGCAAGTCTGAAACTCAGCAGGGCAGGCATTGGGTAATTACTTCTATTCCAAAGGAGAAATCAGCCAAAGAAAGGGTCTACAGGCCTGTGCAAGTCTGAAACCCAGCAGGGGTTTGTGAGCTTAAAGTAATTAAATATTAAAGCTGCAAAATAATATCTTTTGACTTGTTGTCCCACACTCAGGGCATGCTGGTGCAAAAGGTGGGCTCCCAAAGCCTTGGGAAGTTCTGCCCCGATGGCTTTGCAGGATTCACCCACTGTGGCTGCTCTCGTGGACTAGCATTGAATGTCTATGGCTTTTCCAGATGCATGGTATAAGCTGTTGGTGGAGCTACAATTCTGGGGTCTGAAGGATGGTGGTCCTCTTCTCATAGCTCCAGTAGGCAGTGCCCCACTGGGGAGTGGGGCACTGTGAAAATGTGAGGCTCCAACCCCACATTTTCCCTCTGCATTGTCCTAGTAAAGGGTCTCCGTGAGGGCTCTGCCCCTGCAGCTGGCTTCTGCCTGGACATTCAGGCTATTCCACATGTTTTCTAAAATCTAGGCAGAGGCTCCCAAGCCTCAACTCTTGCCCTCTCTGCACCTACAGGTTTAACACCACGTGTAAGCTGTAAAGCTTACACCCTCTGAAGCAGCAGCCTGAGGTGTACCTGAGCCCCTTTGAGCTACAGCTGGAGTGGCTAGGATGTAGGGAACAGTTTCCTGAGGCTGCGTGGGGCAGAGGGACTCTGGGCCTGGCCCAATAAACCATTCTTCCCTCCTAGACATCTGGACCTGTGATGGGAGGGCTGTCACGAGGGTCTCTGAAATGCCTTTGAGGTGTCTCCCCCATTGTCTTGGCTATCAGTACTTGCCTTCCTTTTAGTTATGCAAGTTTCTGCAGGCTGCTTGAATTCTTCCCCTGAAAATGGGCTTTTCTTTTGAACTACATGTCAAGGCTGCAAATTTTCCAAACTTTTACACTTTGCTTCCCTTTTAGATATAAGTTCAAGTTTTAGGTCATTTCTTTGCTCATGCATAGAAGCATAGGTTGTTAGAAGTACCCAGCTCACATCTTGAATGTTTTGCTGCTTAGAAATTTCTTCTGCCAGAAACACTAAATCATCCCTCTTAAGTTCAAAGTTCCACACATCCTTAGAGCAGGGCACAATACAGCCAGATTCTTTGCAAAGCATAGCAAAAGTGACCTTTACTGAAGTTTATGAACCCTGAAAATGTGAGACAGGTCTCAGTTAACTTAGTTTATTTTGCCAAGGTTGGGGACACATTCTCATGACACGGCCTCAGGAGGTCTTGATGACATGTGCCCAAGGTGGTTAGAGCACAGTTTGGCTTTATACATTTTAGGGAGACATGAGACATAATCAACATATGTAAGATGAACAGTGGTTCTGTCTGAAAAGATGGGAAAACTCAAAGCAAAGATGGTAAGACTTTAAGCAGGGAGGGGGCTTCCAGGTCACAGGCAGATAAGAGACAAATGGTTGCTTTTTTTTTTTGAGTTTCTGATTAGCCTCTCCAAAGGATGCAATTAGAAATGCGTTTATCTCAGTGAGCAGAGGGGTGACTTTGAATAGAATGGGAGGCAGGTTGCCCCTAAGCAGTTCCCAGCTTGACTTTTCCCTTTAGCTCAGTAAAGTCCTAATTTCTATCTGAGACCTCCTCAGTCTGGACGTCCTTGTCCATATCACTACCAGCATTTGGGTCATAACAACTTATCAAGTCTCTAGGAGGTTCCAAACTTTCCCTTGTCTTCCTGTCTTCTTCTGAGCCTTCCAACTCTTCCAACCTGCCCATTACCCAGTTTCAAAGCCACTTCCACATTATCAGGTATCTTTGTAGCAATGCCTCACTCCTGAGTACCAATTTTCTGTATTTACTGCTATAAGAAGTATCTGAGACTGGGTGATTTATAAAGAAATAAGGTTTAATTGGCTCAGGGTTCTTCCACACTCTATTCAGGAAGCATACTTCTGGCATCTGCTCAGATTCTGGGGAGGCCTCAGGAAATGTGCAATTATAGCAGAAGGCAAAGGCGGAGTGAGGCATCTTACATGGCAGGAGCAGGACCAAGAATGGGAAGGAGGTGCTACATACTTTTAAACAACTAGATCTCATGAGAGCTCTGTTCTGGTAATACCTAGATCTCATGAGGACTCTGTTACGAGAACAGCACCAGGGGGATGGTGCTAACCCATTCATGAGAAACTGCCCCCGTGATTCAAGCACCTCCCACAAGGCCCAACCATTAGCACTGGGGATTACATTTCAACATAAGATTGGGGTGGGGACACAGATTCAAATTGTATCATGTGGTATTTGTCTTTCTGCACCTGTTTTATTTCGCTCTGCATAATGTCCTCCAGGTTTATACTTGTTGTTACAAATGACAGAATTTCATTCTTATTTTGTGGCTGAATAGTATTTCATTGTGCATGTATACCACTTTAAAAAATTCTATTCATCTGTTTATAGATACTTAGATTGATTCAATATCTTAGCTATTGTGAATATGTTGCTTGCAATAAACATGAGAGTGCAGATATCTCTTTGACATATTGATTTCATTTTCGTTGGATATATACCCAGTAGTGGGATTGCTCGATCATATAGTAGTTTCATTTTTTTATTTTTTGAGGAAACTCCATATTGTTTTCTATAATGGTTGTATTAATTTACATTCCCACCAACAGTGTGCAAGAGTTCTCTTTTCTTCACATCTTTGCCAATTTTGTTATCTTTTGTCTTTTCGATAATAGTCATTCTAACAGAAGTGAGATGATACCTCCTTGTGGTTTTGCACATGCTGTGAGATGTGTCTAATTTCCTTCTTTGCATGAGTATATCCATTTTTCCCAATACAATTTATTGAAGAGACTGTCCTTTCCCCACTGTTTTTAGTTTGTCAAAAATAAGTTGGCTGCAAATGAGTAGATTTATTTCTGGGCTATTTTGTTCCATTGGTATATATGTCTGTTTTTATGTTAGTATCATGGCTGCTGGGTTACTAGAAGTTTTCAGTGTATCTTGAAGTCAGGTAGTGTGATGCCTCTAGCTTTGGTCTTTTTGCTCAAGATTATTTTGGCTAATTGGGTCTTTTTTTGTTCCACACAAATTTTAGAATGTTTTTTCTCTTTATGTAAAGAATGCCATTGCTATTTTGATAAAGATTGCATTGAATATATTTGGGTAGTGTGGACGTTGTAACAATATTAGTTATTTCAGTCCATTTATCTCATAAATGTTTTATGATTTTCAGTGTAGATTTCTTTCATCTCCATGGTTAAATTTATTTCTAAGTATTTTGTTTCTTTTGTAGCTAGTATAAGTGGAATTGTTTTCTTGATTTCCCTTTCAAGTAGATTGCTGAAGTACCACTGACTTTTGTGTATTGATTTTGTATCCTGCATCTTTACTGAATTTGTTTATTAGTTCTAACAATTATTTGGAGGGTTTTTAATTTTTTTAAAAAAGTACATAAAATCATATCATGAAAATAAAGACAACTTCTTCCTTACCAATTTGGATGGCTTTTATTTCTTTAGTTTGCCTAACTGCTCTTGTTAGGACTTCCAGTACTATGTTGAATAAAAGTGGTGAAAATAAGCATGTTTGTCTTGTTCCAGGTATTAAAAAAAGGTTTAATTTTTCTCCATTGGATATTCTGTTAGCTATGGCCTTTAATGTGGAATGGTACATTTCTTTTGTACCTAATTTATTCAGTTTTTTAATCATTAAAATATGTTAAATTTTGTCAAATGCTTTTCTGAATATATTGAAATGATATAATTTTGTCTTTCATTCTGCTAATGTAGTATACTACATTTATTGATTTGCATATGTTGAATCATCCTTGCATTTCTGGGATGAATCCCATGTGATCATGGTGAATGATCTTTTTAAGATACTATTTAATTTGGTTTACTAGTAGTTTGTTGAGCATTTTTGCATCTATGTTGCTCAAGGATATTGGCCTGTAGCTTTTTTTTTTTTTTTTTTTTTTTTTTTTGAGACGGAGTCTCGCTCTGCCGCCCAGGCTGGAGTGCAATGGCCAGATCTCAGCTCACTGCAAGCTCGGCCTCCTGGGTTCACGCCATTCTCCTGCCTCAGCCTCCCGAGTAGTTGGGACTACAGGCGCCCGCCACCGCGCCCGGCTAGTTTTTTGTATTTTTTAGTAGAGATGGGGTTTCACCGTGTTAGCCAGGATGGTCTCGATGTCCTGACCTCGTGATCCGCCCGTCTCGGCCTCCCGAAGTGCTGGGATTACAGGCTTGAGCCACCGCGCCCGGCCGCCTGTAGCTTTTTTTTTCCCCCCACATCCGATTTGGTATGCTAGTCTCATAAAATACATTTAGTAGTATTCCCTCTTCTCCAATTTTTTGGATGAGTTTGAGAAGGATTGGTAGTAGTTACCCTTTAAATGTTTGGTAGAATTTAGCAGTGAAGTCACCAGGTCCTGGGTTTTTCTTTGATAGGAGACATTTTATTACAAATTCATCACCTTTCTTGTTATTGATCTGTTTAGAATTTCCTTTTCTTTATAGTTAAATCTTGTGTATGTCAAGGAATTTATCCATTTCCTATATGTTACACAATTTGTTGGCATATAATTGTTCATAATAGTCTCTTATTGTCCTTTGTATTTGTGTGTTATCCGCTGTGATATTTTTGGTTTCCTTTCTAATTTTATTTATTTTTGTTTTATTCTCTTTTTTCCTTAGTTTAGGTAAATGTTTTTCCTAATCTTTTCAAAATACTAACTCTTCATTAAAAAAATTTCCTATTATTTTCCTAGTTTCTATTTCATTTATTTCTTTTCTGATCTTTGTTATTTCCTTCTTTCTACTAAATTTGGGCTTAATTTGTTCCTATTTTTGTAGTTTCTTAAGGTGCAATGTTAGGTAGTTTATTTGAAATTTTTATTTTTTGATGTAGGCACTTAATGCTGAGAAACTTCCCTCTTAAAACTGCTTTTGTTATATCCCATAGCTTTTGATATTGTGTTTTCATTTCCATTTGTCTCGAGATATGTTTTAATGTTCCTTTTAATTTCGTCATTGACCCATTTGTTGTTTAGCAGTATGTTTTTAAATATCCATTTTTTTGGGGTGAATTTCCTTTTCTTTTTTTTTTTTTTTTTTGAGATGGAGTTTCACTCGTGTTGCCCAGGCTGGAGTGCAATGGCACGATCTCGGCTCACCGCAACCTCCGCCTCCCAGGCTGAAGCAATTCTCCTGCCTCAGCCTCCCAAGTAGCTGGGATTATAGGCACGTGCCATCATGCCTGGCTAATTTTTGTATTTTTAGTAGAGATGGGGTTTTACCATGTTGGTCAGGCTGGTCTCGAACTCCTGACCTCGTGATTCGCCTGTGTTGGCTTCCCAAAGTGCTGGGATTACAGGCATGAGCCACCGCGCCCAGTCTTGGGTGAATTTTGTGAAGTTCCTCCTGTTATTGACTTATAATTTTATACCAAGTGGTCAGAAAAAATACTTGATGTGATTTCAATCTTATTGAATTTAAAACTTGTTTTGTGGCCTAACACATGATTTATACTGGAGAGTGCTCCATGTGCCGTTGAGAGAATGTGTGTTCTGCATATGTCCTTTAGGTTCAGTTGGTCTAAATAGTAGTTTAAGTACTATGCTTTCTTATTGATTTCCTGTCTGGATGATCTGTTCATTGCTAAAAGCGGGGAATTGAAGTCTTTGAGTTTACAAATTATTTCTTGTGCTTGATCAATTCTGCTGTTTGAGCTCTTTATTATATTTTATATTTTGTTCATTGTATTTTTTTAGTTCCAAAATTTCTGTTTCTTAAAATATTATTTCAATCTCTGTTGAATTTTTCATTCTGGTCACTTATTGTTTTGTTAATTTCTTTGAATTATCTCTCTCTATTTTCCTAAAGTTTGCTAAGTTTCCTGAAAACAGTTATTATAAATGTTTTGTCAGGCAGTTCATACATCTACAACTCTTTAGGGCCAGTCACTGGCACTTTATTTTTTCTCTCTGGTGTTGTCTTGTTTTCCTAAATGTTCTTGGTCATTGTGGCTATGTGATAATGTCTGCACATGGTAAAACCCCGTCTCTACTAAAAATACAAAAATTAGCCAGGCATGATGGCACGCGCCTGTAATCGTAGCTACTCGGGAGGCTGAGGCAGAATTACTTGAACCTGGGAGGCAGAGGTACTTATTCCAGTAGGTACTTATTCCAGTCTTCATAGACTGGATTTGTCTAAGAATGCCTTCCAATAGTAAGCCTGTCCAGAGATTCTGGGCAGATCATCTGGTCTGGCTGCTATTCTTGGGACCACTGTGGCCATTGCAGTCCTAGGGAGCATCATAAGCTTGGACTACTATGGCTGGCACAATGCCAGACTGGAATCTTGTGGTTACTGAAGCTGATGTGGAGCTGGTGTGTGCCAGAAATCCTTAGTTACAGAGGCTGGTACATTGCTAAGGCATGTGTGAAACCTACAGCTGCTGAGGTCTACCTCCTGTATGCTACTGAGATTATTCAAGGCCCAAGGCCACTGTAGATGGTCAGTGGTGATGCGGACTGCAGATTGAGTCTGTCTTGCAGGAGCTATGGTTTCCACTTGGTCCCTGGGCAGTCACTGAGGCTTGGTCTGTGGGCACTGGCCTAGAGTCAGGGGCTGTGGGGGTCTGAGTGGTAGTGATTTTCACGGTGGTGGTCCCTGTGTTAGTGTCCATGGCAAATTCCTTTGCTTACTTCTCTCTGTTTCCCCCAAGCAGATGGTGGCTTTCACTGCACTGTGCTGCCTGGGGTTGGGGAAGAGGTGCTGCAGGTAACATAAAACTATCTTTCCTACTCTCCTCAGTGTGTCTTTTCGTATTATTATTATGCTATAACCATGTACTGTGATCTCTCACCACTTTTCCTTAGCACTTGAGAAGGTAATTTCATGCATGGATAGTTGTTCAAATTAATGTTTTTTTGTGGGGTGATGATTGCGTGGAGAGTCCTGTTCTGCCATGTTACTCTTCCCTTTCCCTGCAAGTTATGTTTCTTAAGGTGAGGTTATTTGTGAGCAGGAGAGAGATAAGAAAGAAATATCCTAATTTAGTAGGTGTGTGGTGGGCCATGTGTTTATCTTTAAGTAAAGAGTATTAATACTTTAAAAAAATTGCAAGAAATAGAATGCTTATTGCCAAATTTAGCTTTTAAAATTATTCCTGGATTAGTGAGCTCTTTTTAAAATAAAGTAATTTATTAGTATAGTGATTATTCCTCTGTTTTCTCTAATATTAAACAATAGCGTTATTTTAAGCAGAATATTTCAAATATATTTAAATTAAAGACAAGAACAATGCTTTATAAGGGAAGAATGTTTACTTTTAAAATGTTATTTTAGGTATCATTTGGTTGTAAGAAACAGAAATGTCCTTAATTGATGTTCTTAGATGAAAGGTGGCTAGGTAAAAAGATTTAGGAAATCTTATGGAAACAGACTGTAAAAAGTATAGCTGGGGCTGATGGAGGATGGGAACAGGAAAACCCTAAGGAATAGTCTTTCTGCCTTTGGAGTAGGCTGGTCAGTCACTGCCTCTACTGAGGGTCTGATTTCATCCATCTATCTTTGTGGCTTCTCTGATTTCATTCTTTTAAATTTATATTTTATTTTAATACTAAAATCTTGTATATTTTAGTGTAGACCTATTTATCTAATTTATACATATACAAATATACATATATTTGGGGGACATATAGTAAAATTATTTTTAAAACTGTTGGGATGCACAATTAAATGAGATTGGAGACTAGTTGCTTAAAATGATTGTGAATATGGAGAAGACTCCTGGCATCTATAATACAGTATTATTTTCATGCCTGTTTTTTACAGCAAATTGGCTCTCCAAAATACTGTGGGAATTTACTAAATTCTTGATTACGTGTCACTGATGTCTACTCTGTTTTTTTTCCTTATTCTTAAAATTTATGTTTTCTAAGTAATTCATAATTCATAAAATCTGAATTAAATGAGTTCTCCATTATCCATTAATACTTGGAATCATGGAATCAGAACTCAACATGCAGAATGGATGAATTGTTTGAAAATGAATTGTGTGACAGCATTAGCCAAAGTGAGAATTTCTCATATCTGTTTTTAAAGGTACTGGTAATTTCCCTCGCCTCCCCTCCCCTCCCCTCCCCTTCCCTCCCCTCCCCTTCCTTCTTTCCTTCTCTCTTTCCCTCTCTCTTTTCCCCTCCCTCCTCCCTCCCTCCTTCCCTCCCTCCCTCCCTCCCTCCCTCCCTCCCTTCCTTCCTTCCTTCCTTCCTTCCTTCCTTCCTTCCTTCCTTCCTTCCTTCCTTCCTTCCTTCCTTCTTTCCTTGCCTCCCTCCCTCCCTCTCTCCCTCCTTCCTTCCTTCCTTCCTTCCTTCCTTCCTTCCTTCCTTCCTTCCTTCCTTCCTTCCTTCCTTTCTTCCTTGCCTCCCTCCCTCCCTCTCTCCCTCCTTCCCTCTCTCTCTCTTTTCCTTCTCTCCTCTCCTTTTCCTCCTCCTACTCCCCCTCCCCTTCCCCTTTCCCCTTTGCCCTTTCCTTTCCTTCTTTTCATCTTGTCTTGGTCTTGCTCTGTTGCCCAGGCTGGAGTGCAGTAGTAGGATCATAGCTCACTGCAGCCTCAAACTCCTGGGGTCAGGCAATCCTCCTGCCTCAGTCTTTCCAGTAGCTAGGACTATAGACAAGTGCCACCACTCTTGGTTAATTAAAAAAAATTATTTTGTGGACATGGGTTCTTTCTCTGTTGCCCAGGCTGATTTTGAATGCCTGGCCTCAAGTGATCCTCCTCTCTTGGCCTCCCAAAATACTGGGATTGCAGTTGTGAGCACCATACTTGGCCAATTTTTTATTTTTATTTGACTTTCAACCTTAAAAATAAAACCAAGACCAATTTCCAGGCACTTGTTGTGGTTCTACTTGTTTTGTATTATTTTGATGAATTTTAACATCTTGTTTCTAGATTGCCTAAAAAAATTGAAAACTAATGATTTTATTCTTTCCTGCATTAGTGACTTTTGTGTATGTGTAGAGTATGTTGTTAATTGTTAAAATACTGTAAATAGCAATTTACAGGGCCAGGGATAAGAACTTGTACATTGGTAGACTAGGAGATAAATTCTAGATAGCAGAAATGAGGGATGAGAGAGATTATGAAAGAAAGAAAAAAGTCAATATAAGGGATATTATTGAGGTCATCCCATGAGCAAGTGGACTCAATCCTACCCAGAACATTTAAAGAGCATGAAGATGCTTCTCAGAATCATCTTCCTGAGGATCAACAAGAGGATTTTCCTGATGGGCTCTGTGTATTGATTGTGGGTTACCCTTGGGGGTTTGGGTTTTGGTGGTAACTATTTGGCCTTCAGGTTCCTGTAACTATTACATTTGGATCACCTGCTAAGTCATACTTTATCTGTATAGCCAAGAAATCCCTTGGTATTATGAACAGAGGCCTAACTTGACTCCCCCAATTTCCAGACTTGGGTTATGGCCCCATCTTATTTTCCATACTCAGGTGTATTCATTCTTAGAATTAAAGAGGGACTGAGTCTTGCTGAGGAAAGACCTAACCATCACATCAAATTATATGCTAGAGATCTTTCCCCTAGTCTTACCTAAAAGGATCAAGTGGCCATTTATCAGGATAATTGTACTCTGGGAAAAGGAAGTACAAAGACTTCTCTGGGAATATTGACACTGGCTCTGAACTACTGATAATCTCTAAAGGCCTACATAGTTACTATTTTCCACAAATCAGAGGAAAATGGACTTCTGGTCCACGTCTATCTTACAAGGGCCTAGTGACTCCACGAATCTATTCTGTGGTTATTTTCTCAGTTCCTGAACTTATAGTTGGAATAGTATACTCAGCAAAAGCAGATGTCCTGTTTTAGCTCTTTTTTTCCATGTAGTCATGGTCACTGAGTTAGAAAAGACTAAGTGATAACTTTTGGAGCTCCTTCTCTTTTCCAAAACAATAAACCAAAGCAAAACTTCATCCTCAGGGGGGAGTCACAGATATTGGTGCCACCATTCAATATTTTCTTATCATATCCCCATTAACTCATTATGCAGATGATAGAAAATTTCAGGAAATCACAATGAAGATTACAAGTTATTTGAGAAAACACAAATTTTTATTAAAATGAAAATCTAAACAAATGGAAAGACATGTCAGATTTTTTCTTCTTTTACAAATTGTTTATCCATGTATTTTTGCTCTTCATTATTGGTGAGTTCATAAATCAGTCATATACTTCATAATCTTTTAAGATAACTCTTCCTTTTATACGTTTTGAATTCTGTCCCACATGAATATATTACAAATTTAAAAAGAACAAGATTTTAATACAAATAAATATAAATTAAATAGCAAAGTCAGTATGTTGAAGAGGTATCTGCATTCCCATGTTTATTGCAGCATTATTGATAATAGCTGACATATGGAATCAATCTAAGTGTCAACAATGAATGAAGAAATTATTGTGTGTATATCTATACACACACACACAATGTATATATGAATGTATATATGCACACACACAATGGAACAATACTCAGCCATAAAAAGAATGAAATCCTGTCACTTGCAGCAACATGGATGGAACTGGAGGACATCATGTTAAATGAAATAAGCCAGACAAAGACAAATATCTCATATTCTCATTCATATACGGGAATGAAAAAAAAAAGTTGATATAGAAATAGTGAATAAAACATTTTATATTCTTGAATAGAAAGATTATATATCATAAAAATATTAATCCCTCATCAAATTAATGTATAAATAAAATTCAATTCCAATTAGAATTCCAACAGAGATTTATTTGGGTTTAAACAAAATAATCTGGAAATTTACATAGAAACATGAAAGCCATGCAAGAGTCAACCAAATATGAAAAATAAAAGAATAGTAAGGAAGACTTAACTTACCAGAAATCAAAACATGTCACAGTCACTATTATCCTAGAAAGAGACACATTTATCATTAAAATAGAATAATTAATACAGAAATAGATTCCAGAAATTTTATATATGACAAAGTTGGTAGATCAATTCTGTAAGAAATCATATTTAGTTATTCAGTAATATATCGTACTATCTCAATTGATTAACAATTGCAATAAAATAAAAATAGACTTATGTTTTAGTCCATAAATTCCAGATAGAATAATTAAGTAATTGCAGCATCAAAACAATTAGAGATTTTCAAGGAAATCTAGAAGAACATTTACAATTTAGGGGAAAGATGACCTTATCACCAAGGCTGGTAATCCTTCTGCCATGAAAAATAGCTACGTATTTTTAACTTTATACAAATAAAAATCCTTTATGTAGCAAAAACACCATAAACACATTAATAAGTGAACATATGATTTAGAAAAAAATAAGCAGATGACAAAGGGTTTCTATAATAAATACATTTAAAAAGCTGTTATGCTTTTTAAATGTCCCCTAAACACCCCAATAAAAAAAGACAAAGATATTAGGAGAGCAAATTCAATGGACTACAAATGTGTTTTCAAAAGACATAGTCTAGAACAAAATACAGAAGTTTTGAAATAAAGTCAGGAAAAAATATAACAGATACTATAAAAGGATTGTAGTTTTAACAATAAATCAGTATTATTCAGGGAAAATTATTTTCAAAGGAACAAACAGTTACTTTTATGTTGTTTAAAAACATATTTCACTAGCTGGGCGCGGTGGCTCACGCCTGTAATCCCAGCACTTTGGGAGGCTGAGGCGGGCGGATCGCGAGGTCAGAAGATTGAGACCATCCTGGCTAACACGGTGAAACCCCATCTCTACTAAAAATACAAAAAAGTTAGCTAGGCATGGTGGCAGGTGCTTGTAGTCCCAGCTTCTCGGGAGGCTGAGTCAGGAGAAGGGCATGAACCCGGAAGGTGGAGCTTGCAGTGAGCCGAGATGGCACCACTGCACTCCAGCCTGGGCAACAGAGCAAGACTCTGTCTCAAAAAAAAAAAAAATATATATATATATATATATATATACACACACACACACGCGCGCGCGCGCACACACACACACACACACACACACACACACACACACACACACATATATTCCATTCCATCAATAAGATATGTTATGATTCAACAACATAGCTTCAAACTACTTAAAACAGGACCAATAGAATTAAAGGTGAAGTTGACAATTACAAATCCACTGACCAAGCAGAAAAATGTAGAGAAACAGAATACTTCAATAACATAATTAACTAGATTGATCTAATTTACATACACATTCAATAGACAACATACTTTTTTCCCAAAACACACATGGAGTATTTTAAAAAGACCATCATTTAGACCATAAAGGATAATAGCATACATCCTGCAGGCCATACTTACTGACTACAGTTCAAGAAAATTCGAAATTATAAATAATTGTCTAAAGAATATTGAGGAAAGCAAAATTAAATTATCTATTTGAAAATTAAAAAAAATTTCCCCTAAACAACTGACGTTAAAATGTCAGAACATATCACTATTAGAAATAAATGATGGGAGTGCTAACATACCAAAACTGCAAAGAAAGCACTATTCAGAGGAAAGTTTGTATCTTTAAGTGGTATTTATTAGAGCACAAAGACGACTGAAAATAATTAAGTTTTTAACTTAAGAGACTAGAAAGAAAGTAATAAGATAAACCCAGTCCAGAGTTCTTTCCACTACAGTTCACTAATGCTTCTTATTAATGGAAGTTTGGAATATCATTCCTTTGTTTTTGTTCACACCTATTATTTAATTCTAATATTTGGATATTTGCTTTTCTGTCATATGGAGGAAGTGCTGCCTATGAATTTTACATATCCACAAAATATAAGAATTAAAGAAAAGACATTAACATCTAATGCTGTTGTGTCCTTTGCCTA